CAACAACGTAGATACAAACCTTTCTTGATGATAAGATTCCAAATGCCCAAGGATTAAATTGGATATGTATTTCTGCTTAGGTTAAGCAGATTATTCAGATGCTTTCGAGTTCAACAATATAAACCCAGACACGTCATGAAAGATCGATCCTCTTATTCAGTAACTAAGATACATGGCTATCATAATAATGAGATTTTGCATGTCAAAGAGGTTTAACTGGGTATTGATCTGCATTTACATGAGTCAAGTAAGTGCCAGTGACGAGAGTCACTCAGTATTTGTACAGCTCAGCAATGTTAGCAAAAACATCTAATCTATTGCGAGGTAGATTTTTGCAGATTACTCATGATATCACTTTTGTAGAAAGTTTATAAATACAGAAGCTGATGTCTGTCAATCTCCATTCCACTTCAACCATTCCTAACATTAAAATTTAATAACATACAATTTCTCTTTTCCACTCTTTAACTTTTCAATTTATTTAATACTACCAGTAAATCTTTCAAACTAATTCATATCACTAATACTAATAATTAAATGTACCAAATAACATTACAATAAATTATCATAAATAAATTGACAATACCCGAAGAACACGCTACAAAATTGCACACTCGACTTTCTAATCAAATTCCAAATCAAACTTCTAGAAAAACTATTTGACTAATCTCCACCCTCTCCAATTTAATACTTACCACAATCCTCCATACTACCTTCTATAATACAAAAGAGGCAGAACTTTCCTTTATAAAAACTCAATTAATTCAGATGCTTAAAATCTTTATAATTGATTAGGAAGTTGTTGAATACGGGAAGATGTATACCAAAATCAAAGCCCAAACTGAGAAAAATACTTTAAACAATACTATATTCTCAAATATTTCTTTCAATCTAAATAGGAACACACAATACACCAATAATTATATAATTACTAATACAAAAGTTATAATAAATGATTTCCTTACCATACCCGAAAACAAGATTATAGATATCACAATAATTAATATAGAATGCATTAATAGCTTCAAGTATATAGAAGCACTTACTGGAGCAGGAAGTGGAATTACTGTGTTAAGTGCGCCAAAGGTCGAGGAAGAGAGAGCCACTACAGCTTTAAACAGTCCCAAGCCAAATGCTATTGGTGATACTGTACACAGATACGTCTTGACTTTACAGCGGCTCAAATGTCACTGTAAACAAAATGATGCAGTCTTTGGCCCTAAAAACGAGATCTATTAGGCTGTTGCATCTGGATTCGACAATCGGGTTAAAATAAATTTCAAAACCAACAAATATGGATCCATTGAAAGTAAAGATACACACCAAATGAATCAAGTATATTTTGATAGTATTATGTAAGAGCATCTTACAGGGCATATTGAGTGTTGAAAGGTAAATGATAGTGGTAATAGCTTTTATAATAAGATGATACAAACTTTAAAAGAGATTTCAGACTTTTCCATTAATACAATTGTTGAGGCAAATGTTATCAATGATTGGGGAGATGTATATAAAAAAACAGAACAGGTTGTAGCAATTCTTGTATTAATTGGAATTTGTGGGAGACTTGTTGTAGCTTTCTTTAACTAGTTTATTAATAATAATAACTTGGGTTTTCAATATAAAATTGCTTTTATAAAGCTAGTATTAAATGCTTGGAGCAGACGAGCCAATGGCGAGTTATCATCCATGTTTGATGGGGGTAAACAAGGAAAGCATGAATTGCGGATCAGTTGTAGCATAACCCTCACTGCACCTCCCGCTAGTACAGCTACTGTTTGAAAAATTAGAGTTAGAGAACTTTATGCTATGCAATTCGATTTTTAACCAAGGTTAATTGCGATAGAGCATCGTTCGAGTTGTGAGATGTTTAAGAAACCCAAGGATCGAGCTCTATAGAGAAGGATCTGGTAGGTGTAGGTGTTCGTAATTTGATATATAGCTTAGAAATCACAGTTTGAGGATCAAGAGGTACTAATTCAGCTCCGCGGGGTCCAGCTAATCCATTTTGAACAGTTATTGATTGCAAACATGCTACTTTGAAGGCTATAAAGAATTCGATCTTGGTGATATGATTGATATGAGCCTTGATATACCCCTCAATTTGTTGACCATATGCTCGTTTTAAAACACTAAAGCATCCGTTATCGAATGGTTGGGTAATATGCGAAAATGAGGAGATAATGAAAGAGATATAATATTGTATTCTTTGCAATATTCTTGACTCTCGTGCCCGTCTAATACTAGCATTCGATAACCACCTTGTTTTCGAACAATAGTATGATTATTGAAGTGTTTGATTCATTCTGAACTTATCTTATTATTTGTCCATCCATTATTAGTAACTTTGATCACCCAATCAAGTGGAAGATCACTGCCAGTATACCAACTCGAAAGGTGATTTTTGCCTTTAACCACTGAAAATGGAGGAATGCTTTCTCCTATACCATTAATACATTCAATCGCTGTAGCCCACTCTCGATTACCTGGCTGTATTGCTTTGTTTCTGCTATGTCTCTCAGTATTAGTTACTGTAAAAGAGTAGAAGGTGGTAGGGTCGTAGAATAAGCCTTCACATATACCGTATACAGAGCGTTATGAAGCGTAGCGTCTCCGAGGAGAGGGTGGGAATGGAGGCTATATGAGCTCACATGTAGGGTCAAAATAGGAGGTAGGAACATAGATTGTCTTCTCTAAATTAACACGAAGAAGGCCTAACTATTATTCTAAGGATTTTTTTGGTGTGCACCACCGGTGGTGGCATCAATTGACAGGGGGTGGCATGGGCAAAAAAGACACCTGATGCCACCACCCAAAATTTGACGAAATATTACATTTCTTTAGAAATTTCAAAATTGAGAGATATAAAGAATTAATTAAATTCTCTTTATATTAAGTCAGAATTGAATTATCTTTTGAATGGAAAGATTGATATTGAATTCTAAATTAAAATCGATTTTGAAGTTCAAATTAGAATTCATTTAAAGCTTTGACTTTTTTATATTAACGTCTGTCCCTGCGTCCCGAGACGCACCCTGTTACGAGACAAATCTATAGTTTTGGAATCATAACTTTTTTCTTAACAAGTCTACAGAGTTGCTATTAATATACTATTTTCTTTAGCTATTTCTCCCTAGGGAGATCACTTAACAAATAAGAAAAAGAGTACAATTGATTATACTATCGATCGTTTCAATTACACCATCGATCGCCGCTTCCGCTGTCCACCCCTGTTTAATAACGACTACACCATCGCTGACTAATTCACTCAATTGCCTTAACCTCGCGATACGGCTTGAAAGTTTACATTGAACTGTTAAATAAGTTTAAAATAGAAAAAGAGCTTAATATTAGTCTTGCGGGTTGAGAGGTTCTATTGTGCTAAAATAAGAGGCTGTCTACAATTCACACGAGCGGCAATTACACGATGAAAATTTTCGTAAGACATTAGAAGTAAGACATTAGAAGTAAGACATTAGAAGTAAGACATTAGAAGTATTCTAGAGAATTATAGAAGACGTCTAGAATAATAATACATAAATTATTAATACTTTCATAAATTTAGAGCCACTTGAATTCGAAGTACCTGTAGTTTGTCTCGTGACGGGGTGCGTCTCGCTACGCAGGGACAGACGTTACAACTTTTTTTTTTTTTTAACATGGACACCCAGTTGCTACTTGTCCACAATGTCGATGTGCACATGCGCCTTTCCAGCAGCCGTCTAAGATACATGCTTCACCTTGAGCACAGTCGTCATTGGTGGTGCGGATTCTTGCATTTGCACATATCATCTGTCCAACACAAATTGGATCATTATTCATATCAGTCACACACCTCAATCCTGTTGGAAGGGCCCCTATTACGCTGACACTATCCGGGTATCATGGTAGATTCGTATTACATCCCGAGCTTTGTCTCGCTGCTAGTATTGTTGTTGTTGCCACAACTGTGATTTTGAGAGTCGAAACTGTACCTGTTGAGGTCGGCAACGTGGTTTTTGACACAACAAGTTTTGTAAACCCGGATGGCATAGTATTGCTGCAAAGTGTAGTTGCGCTTGTACCAGAAATGCCGTAAGTGACTCCCAATAGGCAATTATTGTCACAGGCACAAATTAGGGCCGTATCTGTCGCCTGAGGAGACCAGGATATACCACTTCCGAGTAAAGTTGGGGACAAATAGGCAAAAGTAGTAGTAACAAGAGAGCAATTACGTGGAAATGCACAGTTTCCATTGGTCGCGGATACGTATGGACTGGAAAGTGTTCTCGTTCCAGCGGATGGAGTGTTGGAAAAGGCTGTGCTTTGCACGGATGGAGTTGGCAGAGTACCTATCACACTGCTTTTTGTGTTGGAGGTAATTTTCCAGAATATAATAATAATAATAATATTCTAGTAATAGTGGAAGACTTAGCCACTCTAGCTTGAAGGACGAATCGAATATAATATAAGAGTTGAATTGAAGACAAATTATAAGAGAAAGCTTAATTGAGCTGAATTTTGCTTGCTTTTTTCCTAGGTTTTCTTTAAAGAATATCCTAGGTTTATATAGTTTATAATGAAATTCTAGTAGTTTCTATGCTTATAAATAAGACTGATTTAAATCGAATCTTACAGAATCATTTTATATCATAAAAGAGAAATACAACTAATTAATTTAGTTAATTTATTAACAATCTTCTATATGATTTCATCTCATTCTATTTTATTATAAATCAATTTGATAAGAGATATAGCTATATTATAATATAATAATATAATTTTATAATATAAAATCATATTATACTTATATTATTAATACATATATAACTTGATTAGTAAGATATTAATAAATGATTTAGTATACTTATTATAGAATCTCACAATGATACTAGGAGGCAATATCTAAACTTAGATCCCCATGATACTAGTAGGCATAGTAGGAGGCATTATAGATTTAAATAAAATAATTGACAAGACCTTCTTTGTATCGTTTTATTCATCGGCTATCATCGACAAACATGACTTCAAGAACCAATAAAACAAGGAGTGAAACCATTAGAAAGAGAAAAGCCACTCTTATTAAGAAGGCACATGAGCTCGGTAGACTTGACGGAATAGATGTTGCCGTCTTTATTTTTCATCGGAATCAATACTTTACCTACAAATCCGTCGATACAATCTCTTGGCCACCATCTATCAACGATATAGTAAGTCTATTTCCAACTTTATATAGTATATTGTTGATATTTTTGACAGCAATTAACATACCCTATGCCTGTGAATTTTACTTCTAAAGACATAGAGGAAAGATTAAGTTTGAAACGAAAGACAGCAGGTAATATACTTCTCTTAATCATCTTTATTATATGTTAATCTTTCTATAGTAGATGGAGCATCACAAAATGAAAATTTGTTCTCTATTTCCACACATCAGGAAGTCATTAAAGAGGGACAGCTTCGTGAAAACTCATGCATTGAAATTACTCCTTCTAAGATTGAGAAAGATGAGGGGAGTGATTTGACTTAGGTGTTGTGATTAGATTAGATTATATCCAACATAAAAATTCAACTTGTATGAGTCTGCACTACTTGATCACTAGTGTATCCAAGCTCACCTCCTTCTCATCTCTTGTACTGAATCTAAACTCTGTCAACTTTTCATTTATCGTCTCATTTCCTCCTTACTCCCCTTTAATCTAAGAGAAAAAAGGAGAGAATTTTGGATATGCTGTTATATTCAAGTGGTGACACATTCGCTGAGTTGGGAAAATGAATCTCGTCATTACTAAGCTAAAACATCAAGCTAGGAAAAGAATTGAACTAAACATAAAAGTAAAACTAAACATATAAAAAAGAAACCAGAGCCTTAGAACTTCCCTCAAATAAAAAAAGCAGCCATCATTCCAACAAAATATCCATAGACTGCATATCCACAGTATCAAAATGGCCATTCAGAAGAAACTTTTGTATTGTCATTCTCGCAACATCCCCACGCCACTTTGTACCAATCCCTCTACCGGAAATGCGACAATTGGGGCATCTAAATTTAAGAAAAGAATGATACTTGAATCCCATGGAGGTTAACTTATTTGGCGGGTGGAAAGTTGGATGCTTCATCATTACCTCCTGTATGAACAGTCGGAATTCGCATGGTCCAATGAGAAAAGTGAGATTTTGAATGTTCGTACAATTCTCTAATTGTAACAATACACCTTTTACATCGAGATGACAAAAGCAGCCTAAAGTAGGATGTCCGAATCTCATATCCTGAAAGTCAATAGTGATATTTTTCATGGTAGATGCCATGGGATGGCCAACGAAAGAACTGGGATCCAAGTCGAAATGATTTTTCAGATAGAATATCGATATAGCTGTTTGAAAGAGGACTTTTGAAACCATCCATCTTTGGAGTCGCCAGTTATGGTTCCTGTCTCTCACCTTGATGACACAAGGTGGCTTTTCGATCTCCATAACCTCATTTAATATCATGTACCAGATCTCTGCAGGAAGATGGAGTTCTTTATTTGGTTTGCCATACAGACAAAGTTCTTATGCTCTAAGATTGAATTAGTATCTAATATCCTTTATTGTATTTCATCTTACTTACAAAACATATCTCCTTTCAGCTTCCCAAAGTATGATCAGCTGGACTTGAAATGATACCCTTAATGCTTGAAGCGTATCCAAAGCAGGATCCAATTCGACCCAATCTTTGTTTATTGTTATTTTTCTCAATTCCACTCGTTTTGATATAATCTCCAATGTGAAATTTGCCAACCTGCTTGCTTCTTCTGACCGGTTCCTTCGTGTGTTGCATTTTGTTCCATGGAAAATTCTTTTTATCCTTCAAAGGTGGGATTGTTCGTCGGTCAATCGATTTTCGTCCGATCTAACTTTGGATTGTAACCCTGTACAAATCTCTTTTATAAGTTCCTTGGCCATCCAGATCTTAAGGGTATTATACTCTAAAGATCCCACATACTCTCTCATGACCACAGTAGATTCCATGGTAAAATCTCATTCCATTTCCAAAGGCTCTTTGGATATGTAAGGTTTGTGCTCACATATTCCAAATTCGATGTCTTTACTACTACATGTATATCGATGTTCGGAAAATCCATCTTCGAGGTTGATATCTTGATCAACTGAATACCAGAAGAGAAGAGATGACCAATCATAGCCTGGTGGAAGTAGCGCAAAATCTCGATCTAAGAAATGTCTTTTGATCAAAGACTGATTGTGAGTGCCATGCAATACGCTTTGAATTGACATATTGATTTCGAAAGTATAAGTGAAATGAGAATAAGACTTCATGTTTGCTCTTGACCTCTCGAGAATTATGAAGTATCATTACTATATGCTTACATAGATTGATGAGACGAAATTAAATTTAGAATCTGTCACAACCGAACTGTCGGTATGAGTATATTTAGATTTGGCTAAATTTGTCAAAGATGTGTCTTATTTCTAATTGTGGGTATGTTGGTTTCTATTTCTAGTAATCTGACCAACTTAGGCTTCTATCAGCTCTCTGGATTCTTTCCATCCGTCTCTCATGGTCTTTCTTGACATTCCCCAAGAGCTTGAAATGGTATAGTGCCAACATTATTACTATGAAAACCGTGCAAGTTCCTGTCACAGCTGTGGTCACGATCGCCGTAACTGACCAAACCCCTCCTCTCGCTGTGTAAATGTTTATCACAGTTGTACCCAACCCCGTAATCAAATTTATGAAGCCAGGCCTTCCACTAGTTTTCAGTAGGTTCCTTATATATAATCATGAACAGTCTTACAATATGATCCGGTTTATCAACTAAATATAGTTCCATTTCCACATCCACCAGAGCCATGTCATATCAGAAGCACCTATTACACAAAATATTGCAGCCACCCATAATAATGGCAGATTCCAATATGCTCTTAACACAACAGTACCAGCTTTACCAGTTTTCTCGGCTACTGCAGTCGAGTTCTGCAGTGAAGTGAAGGTTAAAGGTAGTATCAAATAACCAGCCAGAAGAATCCATGTCATTATACTTGCTAAAAGGTTGTAAATTGTAGGAATACGATCAAGCTGGAGAAGTATGTTGATATAATTTGTTGCCCCATACTCATACTTAGGATCCCGAGAATTTTGAGAGTGTCCAAGATTGTTGGGTCCTTCCACCCTATTGGTCAATCTTATATTTTCATTATTGCTACTCAGGCTGTGCCATGTTGGAAAGTGTTGTTGGTCACGAATATGCGCCAAGGAAGGCTTCAACAACAAAAGGGACAACAAATTTAATGGCATTAAGTTTAATATTTTGTGTGATGGGAAGTAACAAAGGAAGGACAATCTAGAGGTTTGGACTTGATGGGAAGGTAAGATAGGTTTATAAGCTTAGAGTCAGATACCAACCACTTCTTTTCCAAAATTAGTATATATAGGTGTTAATGACAATGAATGATCATGGAATGAAGATGAAGCCTCCCTCTTGCTCTACTATCTTTCATTCACGTGTTATGCGCCAGTGTTGAAAACCCAGGGTTGGGTAACCATACCTTATCCGGGAGTTTTGAGACCTACAAGGTATGTACCCTGAAAATCAGCCGTGTACGAGTCTTACCCCAGATTTCGACCAGGTGTTCATTCAATATTGTTATCCAAAGTCGAAGTTATTGCCAATCAAAAAAGCAATCAAAGAGATCAAAAAAATATATTGAAAAATTAGGATATAAATAATTACATAATCCTCGCAGAATAATACACTTCTTAATCTATGCCTCACGTATCTATAATCAGGAACATAACTGTACTCAATCATGTTTCTAGACCCTGGGTATATACTACCCTGTGCCCAACCTTGTAAAAAATAATCCTTGTCAGCTCCTCCTTAATTGCATTACGGAATAAATGCCTAATTTGGTACGTGCACCGACCCAAGAGAATGGTTCATGGTGATACAATAGGTAAAGCGTAATTCAATATTGTGATGATATTTAATGTAAAAAACGAAAAACAAAATATAAAACATTCCATTATAAATACTTCTGTAAAACAATCTTTTCAAAAACAACCCTTTGTTCATATCATGCAAACTACTCCACTAATTTGTGGAAGCATTGAGAGCATATTATTTGAGAGTAGACTATGTTTATCCTTTTTATTATACCTGGAGCGAATTTATTGTAGAATTGCATTATATCTTGGGACCAATTTACTAACCATTGCATCTGCTCTTTTAGTTGTTTGACATCATTTTCTAATCGCAATTCCCGCGTAGATGGCATAAAAGTATGCTCTCCCTATTGGTATGAAGAGTTATTAAAGTACTGAGAATGAGTTTCCAAAAGCGGGGTAGGTGTAATGGTGCTTGCTGGGATCGTGGTCGGCATTATCGCAGGCTGAGGATCATATCCTTGAAAAAGATTATCAATATTAAAGTGGATCGATTGATTAGCTGGATTGGAATCCGCTCTGATAAGCCAGTCAAAATCGTAATATGGTGCCTAAGGGACCGGTTCGAATAGTCCGTCGGTTTCTTGCCATTCCTAGCCCGGATGTTAATTGTCGACCTGTTCCTCGATAAGTTGACCAAATATTCCATACATTATTGAGTTCAACTGTTTGTAGTCGGTTTGTTCTTAAGAACATTGGCTGTTACTCTCCTTCGGCATTGTATCCGGATTTACGTGTTATTCTTGAATTATGGGTTTACGGTTGAGAATCATTTCTAACTGCCACTGGTTGTTTTGTTTCTGGGATGGATTGAGGTCCGACTGCTCGTCATTGTCTCGACCTTGTGCTTGGCTGAATGCCGAATGCTCGTAACTGATTTGTCCTTGTGTTTGGTTGAAAGATGATTGGTTGTAACTGATCTCTACTTGTGCATGATTCTGTTCGAGGTTTCCATCAAGCAGTGAACTGGGCCATTGATGATTGTTTTGCTCCATAAGGAAGATAAGGTGGATGAATAGGCGTGTTGTTGTTGTTGTTGTTGAGGTTTAGATAATGAGATTGAGATAGGTTAATCATACTTATTATATATCATCGAACTTGGCAGCAATTTTCTATTAAAATCTTAGCGAGAGCTTTCGATATTCAAGAGCATGGAGTAGCGTTTCATCTCAGAGCGTTTCTTTTTTGTTGGAAGTATATTCTTAAAAGCCGAATTCAATATTCTAGATGTGCTTTTGACACTGAACGCCAATTTTGTATGGTTGTATGGATCATTTCTAATTTGGGATTTCGGTTGGGCGAAGCAAGACATATTCTGTTGATACTGCTGATGGCAGTATTTCTAGTTAACCCTAAGCTTGTCATTCTTTATCTCAATTGCACACCTCATACCACTCTTATTTGTTTCCATTATGCCAGGACGAAAATGGACACAGGACGAAAAGGATCTTTTTGCCACTTTGCGGGATGAACATCCGGATCTTAAACTATCTACCCTTACAGAGCTCTTCAATGAGCGTACAAACGGTTCATATCGTAGTATTTACGGCCTCCAGGGAGTATGGAGGCATCAGAGGAAAGATAAGCTTGATGAGAATGTTGAATCTAAAGAAGTTTATTTTATGTATTAATTGTTTTCTCAGGGTTATCAATAAAATGCCGCAGAGATACTGGAAATTCTTCTCATTTTTCGTTTAAACAACGTCTTTCCGTCTCCCGACCACATCCCATTCTCCTCCAACTATCCACCCCAGTTTCATCCCTTCCCATTTCCTCATCGTCTAATTCAATCCCTTTAAAATCTTCTCCTACTTCATATAAAGAATTCGACAAACAACGAGAAGCAAGAACCATGAGTGGAATAACAGCGAAAGAATTTTGGATAATGGTGCTGAACGATCTCCCTACCGCACCAATCATCTCATCTCAGGTTGATCTATACTGGATACCAAATCATTTGATAACTAACTTATTGTTAGGCATATATCATTAGCAACTTCAAAATTTCCCCTTTACCTATCATAGCTGGATTTGACTTGGGGGAAGGACTAGAGGACACACATGTCTTTGAATAAATATTGATGCTTCCTTCATATCAATTACCATTGTTGTTCTCATACTGCGAGTCTTCCGCTCTTGTGACCTCTTGTTCCAAATGATATTCTTCTACAACATCTGCACCGAATGGGCTTTGTAACTTTAAACAATATTTTCCAACATAATATGTAATGAAGAACAAAATAATCAAGGATGCTAGAATGATCATCAACCCGGTGGTCTTATTGCTAATCGTTCTCTTCCAAATCATGTTACTTCTTGTAATCCCTTTCATTTTGAATAAGAACATTTACCTAATAAAAAGAGAGAAAGGAAAACAAAAGTCGTGCTTATGCCATACCACACCATACTATCGGATGGATGGAAATGTAGACCCATACTAACACCATTGCAACAATTGGAATGTTGGCATTGCCATTTTTAAAATAGAAATAGTATATTCTAATGCAATTTTGAAATTTTATGACTGATATACATAATGATAAAGGGTTATACATTAACATGCATGTAAGATTAAACACCAACTTATCCAAAAGATAAAAATAAAGCAAAGCATTTATCACTAATCATCTTACATATATGAAAGTAACTATAAGTTCACTAAAGTCGGGTACCCTACTTTCGGGCCACCCCCCTTTTAGGCCACTTTTTATACCAAAAATGGAATTTTTAACTCTTTTATTTATGGATAGAATTTATTGAAAATTTGTATATATATAATTCAGATCGTTTTGAATTTAATCTGAAGTTTTTAGATTTTTTAGATTTTTCTGTATTGAGATCTAGAGCTTCAAAATATCGATTTTTAAATTTGTATAGGAATTACATATAAATTTAAAACTTTTACAAAATCTTTAATAACTTTTTAATAAAAATTATTAAAAATAAACTAAAAAGTTTTATTATAAATTTATAATGTATTTATTTTGAAGGATTTAGAAAAAAAAGAAAATTTCCTATAAATAGATATTTAAAAGAATACCCTCAAAATTACAGGGATTATTTATACTACTCTAAACTCACTATATACTATATCTCTATATCTGTTAATTTTTTTTAATTTTTTTTGAATTTCTATATAAATTTAAATTCAAAACTTTCAAAAAGATATACAGTTTTCTTTTGATAATTATTGTTAAAAAGTTATTAAAGATTTTATAAAAGTTTTAAATTTATATGTAATTCTTATACAAATTAAAAAGTCGATATTTTGAAGCTCTAGATCTCAATACAGAAAAATCCTAAAAATCTAAAAATTTCAGAATAAGCCCAAAATTGCTTAAAGTATATATATTTAAATTTTTATTAAATTAGATTATATATTAATAGACATATTAATAAACCAAACAAGCGATTTTTCGTGTAAAAGAGTGGCCCAAAACAGGGGTGGCCCGAAAGTAGGGTGGTCGACTTATCAAATGCTTGAATCACTAGCATTATCTTAACTTTATCCCTTCGATACAAGTAACATCAAATTCCAATTTCTCGTAACAATTTTCAACTACACAAACAGAACAAAATTTTGAATTCGGCAACCATGCATACTGATCTAGCTATTAGCAAGATCATCGTGGCAGCAAACACAGACGTTAGTTAACAATCAATTTTAGAACCTGGGAACAGGATACTGACTGTCATTTAAGCAATAATCGACTGTGCCTGGTGCACTCGGAGCCCTTCGCATTCAAACCAATATTGACAATGAGAAAAGCGTTGAGGTTACTAAACCATCGAAGCAATCTGCTGGACCTTCTAGCTCCAAATTGTCTCAAGAAAGCTCTCTATATCCAATCATTAAGTAGATCGAGATTCCAGATGCCAACAAGGATCCCGATTTCAAAATGTCCATTGATATTGCTGGTGACACTCAAGCTCTGAAGCCTCAAAAATAGCAAAATGAAATTATAAATAACACTTTCCAACAAAATATCATCGCTGATCCTGCTAGTTTTAATGAATGGCCCAATATCTTAAACACTACTCATCAGCAAAATACAACCACTAGCTTAAGTCAAAATCTTCCACAAAGTGATACAGCTGCATCCGCTGCCGCTCACTACCTACAAGTTCTAACATATTTTCATGATTGGAACAAGCAGTACAATCGTACTCTCAAGCAAGCCATCGAGGAAACCCATAAGATAAGAGATTACGTGCGTGAATACAGAGTATCTGCAGGAAAGCATATCAAAATAGCCTCTCATATCTTTAATGTCGATTCAAAACTCATCCAAGAATATCGAGACTGGGATAATGATTACAAGCATCTTGTTACAAAATACCACTCGATAATGGACCAACACACAACTCTATGCCAAACTTTTGATAATAAGCACAGTGCAGAAAAAGAGGATCCCACTGCTGGGTACACTTCCTCCAACGACTCAAATGCTGATGCCCATATCTCCAGTCAGAACTCTGCAGAAAGTCCAAGTGCAGCAGCCGTCAATCTTGGTACCATTCGTCATGAAGATCTAATGGATGGCCTCACTAAAAACTCCGATGAGGGCCTTACACAAATGCCAACTACTGCTTCGCCTGGCCCGCAGATTGATTGCGAAAATTTTCGTATGTATTGTCATCTTAACCGATGCGATCATCTCATACGTCTGCGTGCTGAAACGACTGAAAAATTGGCTAGTTTGAGGATATTAGCTGCTAGATTGTTGGAAGATGATAATTTTTGCCAAGACAGTCATATGTACACTCTCTGGTTCAACTGCCAAGCTTTTTAGCATTGCTGAGGAGCTTGAACGTCATGAAAATGCTTTGAAGGAATTTGGCTCCTAAGTAACTACGTTAATCAGCAACTGTGGTAAAAGTGGTGGAGGAATGTAATTGTCACTTTTTAGAACTTTGATGCTGGACCGAAATTTATTGTTACTCTTTGGAACTTTGTATTTAAACTTTTGGTGGGTTGCTATCACTCTTTGAAACTAGGTACTTGAGAAACTTCCAAGCTGTTTGTCATTCTTTTAAGCATTTAATAATTCTCAAAGTTATTCTACAATTATAAATCGTTATGTCACTTGATTACTGCTCGACTTCAAGTAGAAACTTGCCAAATAATACATTGCTAGATCATGAGTATAGATTATTCATTACCTTGAACACAGTTTCATCCAAATGATCTTCAATTTGGATGTGCGGAAACATTTGGAAATAGAATCCTATATTCAGTGAATGATTGAGATCCACTGTTACGGTTGGTACTTGGAGACATATTCGATAGCATGCAGAAAGAGGTGGACGAGTAGGCCTGGAAATAATAGAAGTGAAGCATAGTTAGAAAAATCTCTTATAATCATCCAACTATGGAAAACAATGATGATGCACGGTCATAATCGAAGGATAATCACTTAAAGTTACATGGCACCTCTGCATACCCTGCTGAACAGTTAGTCTATACTTACATTTGCAATCCGAGAATATCGACCCCACTATTGCTACTCAATAAGAAGATGATTGCCCCACTTAATTACAATCATCATGGCGGGATTTCTTACATCTATTCCTCGCTCTAGCATGATTAACATAGCAATATTCCCAATGCTCGTTGCCCCACCCCTTTCAGTCATAGCCATGGGCATAACCCCACACTCAATATTAGTTGCTATACTAAGCCCTAATCACTTGTGATAAGTTAACATCTTGAGCTAAGTATAGATAACTACAAGAGTTATTCTTATGCCACCTTCACAGCAATTGATCTCAGTCCTACGACATCTGAATACTTCCTAAGTTTAGCCATCGTGTATCTGTTGGCCTACTGTGCCATTTATCATGACTGTTAGTTGCCATCATCATTTATCATGTCTCCCATCTAATCTGATACAATTGAATAAAAATTGATATATATATTCACTTACTCGTATAACAAAAACAACGACCAGAGATCAAAAATTCACAAATATCGATATCTTCAACACCAACTCCATCCGTAATGTCACTATCAAGAAGACAAATACCTATAAACAACAACTTTCGGGCTTCCTCTGTGCCTTCCAATATGACTCCAATAGATCACACTATCCTTCAAAGTAATGGCGTTACGACGGCAATAGAACTCAACAATCGAAGCTTGCAAGCTTGCAAATACGCCTCAGCTCTCAATCCTACACAACAGATTAAGGAATTGACAAGAGAAATGGCCGCTTACACCATGAAATTCAATTTCTCCGACGGTGTTCGAAGATCGACTATGAGTTTCGTGACACGATCTACCAAATATATCAACAAGTTTATCTAATACAAGCATTCAATATCTTCAACCAAATTCCTGATGTCAGGGAACGATTAGAAAAAGGATTTAATAAATACCACGAAAAGATCGACAAAGCACGAGCTTCTTGGCTTGCATTTTATGAAGTCAAAAATGATGCTATGCAAGAAGGGATGCCTTTTTAGGTGGTGGTGACATTTTTGGTTAGAACTGAGTCAACTATGAAAGATGTTCTTGTTTTCCAATATTGTTCTTTAGGATTATGAAGAGGAATTAGCTTTCGCTAGATGGAGAATGGATGTTGGGTGTTGGAGATCTGAACTTTTGATTGACAAAATAGTGTTGTACTTAGCATCGTTATATAACATAGTAGCAACCGGCTGATATATTAATGTAGCATTTGAGAAATCTCTTTCCAGTATTCAAAGGTAATTGACTGGGCTCCAGGTCTTGAGGTGGGCATTTAATGAGCATTGAATTGAGATCCTTCAATATATCCACAAGAAACTTCCCCTATCCTACAGTCTTGTCAAGATACCCTATTCAGCCATCCATAATTAAAATTATAATTCCTTACACATCTCCACATGATTCTCTCTCTTATCACTGTCTCAATATATTTCGGAGTTGCTCTCTCAAACTGCTATTTGATTCCAACTTTTAGGTTCAATTCTTGCTGAAATAATCGTATATCTTCTATTATAGATATCGGAAAGAAAGGCCTGTGGTGATCGCTTGAGGATAGTCCATCCCGAGTACATTGCAATAAAGTAGGCTTTATAATGTCTGAGTTTTTTGGTGACTCTGTTAAGGGATATATTAGGATAGAATATGGCTGTATGATTCAGTAACTGATTGGATGTTTATCAATAAGTGCCTTTCGAGAGTTAGCACCGATCTTCTTTGATTTAGAACATCGTCAAGATTTACCTTCTCTATTAGCTCGTACTCTATAACATTATTGTCTTGGTATACATCCAATATACTTCTCCATAAATTTACACCTTTAAGGAAGCTCAATACCTCGGGATTCTTTAATCGATCAAAGTATTGTAACCAGTCAAGTAACAAGAGTTTGGGTAGTTCTTGATATATGATTTGATCGATTTTGTCGGCAACCATGGCTGGGAAATGGTTATCGAGAATAATTAGGGTAGACATTTGATTGTCGTTCCTGGTCAACTCGAGACAATAGATAGATATGTACAAGTTGGATATTTCCAGAACTCTAAGGATTATCAGAATTGTCTTCTGGTGAAGTTTATGCCATTATTCACAAAATGAAGGGGTATAATAGAAGATGGAATGGGATGTTCGGTTAGATATAAGAATGTTCGAAATGAACGATTAATCGCGCTACACAAATGCGAGACGGCGTATTCCTAAATCAAAATAGCCCTTCATCCCAGTAGATATCATTAAGGATAGGTATAACAATAATGTCCGGCTAGCTGAGACCAAAAACCGAAGGAACTTATCGAGTCAGAAAACAAGGAATCTTTCGAACTAGGTTTGAGGGGCAAGTCTAGGATATAGTTTTTCTCTCTCTCAGAGCTTAGCAGTATTGGTCCAGCTCCCTCAAATTATATGGAGCTCGCCTAATAACATCCTGATTCTTCTTATGAATATCTCGCACCTCTATCTGATTAGATCCATAATGGAGAAATTGCCGAAAGGTACTAGTCTACAAACGAATTCAGAAAGGAAATTCGAAGCCTTATTAGGGGAAAACGACTTCCAGCGGAAGTGGGATAGATTGAATAAAAGATAGGGAAGCATGCATGAATTGGTCAACAATGATTCCAAAAAAGAAAAGAATTGAGATTAAGAAGCGTATCAACGATTGAGAATTGTTGAGGCTATTTTCCCTTATAATTCAATAAGTGCCTACACATAAGATTAAGATATTCGAGATTTGAAGCAATAAGTGAATGATAAGATCTACTAGGTGTACTAAATGCAATGAACTCTTCTCGACAATCAATTTCAATACCTCATATCTGTCTTCATCCTAGACATCCTAACTATTTCGAGAAATCTAGTATTCGATATCCATCCTGTCTTGTAAATACTCGCTGGAAATTCTTCGAGTGATGAGGGAAGTAGATTGAAAAGGGATTTCTCCTTGCTGTACGAGTGAGGGGAAAGCTAACTGAAAGTTGATCGCATTAGTTTCCCAGGTGGTGCTTGTTTGTACTGCATTGTTGTTTTTGTAGTAATTCTTGAGAACCAAATAATATCTGCGAAATCGAATCTTATTGCCGTTATTGTTAATAGTTTCAAACCCGAAAGAAACTATTTCTTTGTTATGAGTTTGATCTTTGAATGAGGAAGGATATGTATTTGAGGTAGAGATTTTAGAAGATAATGAGGTAACGGAAGCTTGTGTATACTTGGGAGTAATCTGCAATCATCTTGGAACTGCAGAAAGGGTATCTGTGCAAGTGGTTTGTTGTAGTATTGGGCTTGTGGCAAAACAATTGTCTATGGAGGAGGCACCGTGAAGGTTGTACTTTCTTCGTTCCATTTTCTTTATTCTATTCTCTGCCTTCTGGTTCCCAGTAATATTAGTTTTGTATCTTATCTTTTCACACATATTCTTTTAACAATTGAAAATATTTACTCCAATTTGATCGAACTCCGCTTTTGTGAAAGCTTGCCTGGGCTGTGATGGAAGGTATGTTTTTGGTACTTGGAATAATGGTGGCTTTATAAAAGCTCCAAGATTTTGCTTCTTTTTCTGATTCATTTCAGACGATGTAGTTTTGTATATGTTGTGGGTTGTTTAACGCCTGATAGGTGAAAGAAGGGGAGTGAGGGATGAAAACTGCAGATTAAATAACAACACGCATTTTATCCCCCTGATTTGTAGTGCTAATCCAATTCGGATATTCCCCATACATTTAAAGCATGAATATTGATACTACAACAAATTAAATTCCTATTGAGAACTCATAATAGTATGTGATTGTTTCCATGATATCACACCGTAGTTGAAAGGAAAAAGTGGGGGGGGTTTGCGAGCGTCTAAAATGACACAAGGTCACCTTGATCCTAAACCGCTTGGGGTATTCGTTTCAACCACTGTCAGATTTGATTTTGCTTCTTACTAGTACCATCATTCTATAGGCTGCTTTTCAGGGTCTCATACACTAACTTTCGGGGCTTTCAGGGCCTTTAGGCTTTCAATAAGCTCAACCTAATGCCAATGTTATGACCTTTCGCTTCTACACCTTAAGCATGGATATACCCAGCGTCCCGGCCATACCTTCAATCGATTCACCATCTTTTCCAATATCAAAACGATAGAGAACAAAAGGTCTACACATACTTCACACAATGAAGAGCGATATTATCAAGGAATCTCAGGGTTTATATAATCGATTTCAGGGTTATAATTCTATCAAATTCTACAATACCATAAGGTTGACAGAGCTGTGATTCATAATATGTTTTATACAAATTACAAAAGTCAAATATAAGGAAAGTAATAACTATGATTCAAATACTATAAAAAATAACTACAAAAGTCCTAGAAATCCGAGGGTCGAAGCTCCATTATACAATAATCTTCGGTACTCCATTCCCTTTAAGTTCCACAATACAATCTTGCAATGTCATAACTTTCCACTCCTTTTCAAATTTAAACAAACTCAACCATTCTGTCGGACATTTCCCAAAAGCCAAATATATCGAACAATTCAACCCTGGCCAAACACCCATCACTTTTTCAATAGTAGAAAGTGGTTGACCCCAATATAAAGCCATCTTCTCTCCAATAAGTGATGCTAATTGTAGGTATGTATGATCTATTGAGAAGAAATGGGTATCAAGTCTGACTGAAAAGCTATGAAAGCTTCGATCTATCGCTTGTAGCATCCTCAGTACTGCTACTGGATCAATCGATTGATCAGATATGAATAGTTGATAGCAGGCTGGTTTAATAGCGAGTAAATCGAAAGTGATTGGTTGTCGAGTCATTGAAGAAATACTAATGATCCATTGATGTCTTACTTCTAAGATCACCATAAAGCCACTTCCGATACAAGTATTGTGATAACCGCTACCATTATTATATAGGAATTTCAACCCAAATTCATTATCATAGTACTGTAACCATTCACAATCTTCCGTGGGGACCAAGGTTTCATTCTTGAAAGTAATTTGATAACGTTCTATGAATCCTTTGTGGTTGTCAGAGTCGTTTGTTGATGGAACCGAAATGATCTTGGAAGTGAAATGGGTGGGCGTATAGATTAGTAACAAGAGTTGTAGAAAGATAGCTTGAAAAAGCCTCTCCAACTTATGACAATTATTATAAATCGCAATAATCTTATCTCTTGTATATTTAGAACAAAGGTTTTCGGAAATAATCTCTTTAAGGAAGTCTTCGATATATTCTTTTGGAAGCAACTTTCTAGTAAGGTAGGCAATAGTTTTTATTAAATTCTTTATTGTGTTGATAGGTACAACAACTTCAGGTAAGAACTTGTCAATAATTAAAGTATTTAATTGCATTTGTTGCTCCGGATATATAAATTTAACTATTTCAAGGATTATTGATATGGTTTCATAGTTGAGGGATGATCTTGGTGACTGATTTGTGGGATTGAGGGTTGTCTCCTTTTCATTATTGAGTGATAGTAAGTTTTTGAAATTACTTATTATATTAGATTGTTTTCCTCTGCGCATTGTGAATTATAGGATATAATTCGGGAAAATGTTAAGAAGGCTTTGAATGAGAATAATTTTGAGATGGGAAAAACAAATGTATGTCAGTTGTAAAGATCAGATCAATAATGTAATAGGAAATAGAAGTATAACAAGGATAGAAAAACTAATAAATATAAGACCTAGATTTTTACCTCAGTTCTAATATAATAATGGTATTTAAGATAACGTAAGAGTTATTAACAGATTTATGAATTAGAGATAAATAGTTTTTTATTTAATATATTCTTAACTAAAATAATAGTAATATGTAAATCCATATTAATTAATTAGAATTTGTAAAAAAAAAAGGTTTA